CCCAAATGCGAAATTGACAACCAAGGGCCTGTCGTGATTTGTTAGGCCCGCCTTCACTTAGGGCGGGCACATATGCTGCAAGGGGGCCCTTTAGGACTGCCGAGGACCCGTATCCTCGCATTCCCTCCTCCTGTACGTCGATAGTCCTCTGAGAAGTTTTGTATTCTGCAGGCATCTTCTCTTTTAGATCTCTTTCATAGCCTGCAATGACTTGAGGTGCAGTTGTCATGAGTTCTTCTCGGGTGAACCACCGATATTCGCTGGGGTCCAGATGATGTCTGAATCTGACCCGGTACTGCATTTTTGGCTTAGGAGGGCGGCCTCTGCCCAGTGGTCGAGGAACTGGCATCAGGCGATGCTCCATGATCTGGTCTATGTCCACTTCGCCATTCATGGTTGGGGGCAGCATTGACCTCCTGGAGGGAAACTGATCTGTGGCAGCGAAAGGTGCCAGCTTGGATGCATGGAAAACAGGGTAAGTACGCAAGTGTGGAGGGATGCGAATCACGTATGAAGGCCCATCCGGTTGATCCCCTACAATGTCTAAGATCTGCCAGGGCCCAAAGTACTGTGGCATCAGTTTTCGTGAAATCCCCATTTCTTGACCTAAATCAGATGACTTAACCCAGACTCTATCACCTACCTGAAAGTTAGAGGGCCGTCTACGTTTATTCTCAGATGCGATCATAGCCTCCTGAGCCTTCCTAATATGTTCAACGGCCTGCTGCAGCATCTGTTCATACTTGACAGCAAACTCTATGCTGCCAGGTGCTGCAGTGGTAGCAGAAAGTCAAGTGCACTTCTGGGCTTCCAACCAAGATGCAGCTGGTTGGGAGTCATACCAGTAGTACTATGCACAACATTGTTATACAGGCTGGCGACGAGAGGTAACTTCTCGTCCCAGTCATCCTGACTTGGCTTAATGTAATGTCGAAGCAGGTGCTGTACTACCTGGTTCATCTGTTCTGCCTGGCCATTTGACTCCGGGTGATTCCCTGACGTCATTTGGAACTTGGTACCCATCTGTTCAGCTGTCGTTTGCCACAGTTCGCTGGTGAACCTTACATCCCTGGCATTTACTATTGATGTAGGTAGTCCAAAATCCCTGACCCAGTTATCCAGAAACAGTTTGATGACATAGTCTGTTTTAGCAGTTTCTGGTATCGATTAGTCTTGCATACTTAGAAAAGCTGTCCACTATCACGAAGATGTGTCTTTTTCCAGACCTGCTGGTCACGAGGGTATCCATGAAATCCATGGACACACTTTGACCAGGACCTTCAAGAATTGGAAAGGGCTTGATGAGCCCAAGCGGAGCCTGAGTCTTGGGTTTGTCCCTTTGGCAAACCTGGCAGGTTTCAACATACTCTTTTGCATCTTGCATCATAGTGGGCCACCAGAACTTCTGCACTAGATTAGCTAAAGGCTTTTTATAACCAAAATGACCAGTTGCATCATGACATTCCCCTAAAAATAAACTACGCAAAGACTCACTACTGGGAACACACAATCTTTTATTCCCTGCCTTCTCAAGAAACAGCAAGTCGTCTACCATCGTAAATTCGTCCAAAGTCTTTTTGTCCTTTGCTTGGAATCTACAGATGATCTCAGCCATAACTGGATCTTGCTGATAGGCTTCCACCAATGACCGAGTTAAGTCGTTAGGTATGCCAAATTCAGTTACTAGTGCGCCCAGGTAATCTGCCCGGCGTGACAATGCATCGGCTACCTTATTGTACTCTCCCTTGATTGGATCAAGTTGATAGTCATACATGTCTATCACTTGAATCCATCCCTTGAGTGCGTAAGAGAGTACCGACTGTGTCTTAATCCAGCGCAAGGTCTCATGGTAAGATCTCACATAGAAGAATTTGCCAAGGAGATAGTGTCTCCAATGTACCAGCGCTCTATACAGGGCATAGAGCTCACACTTACAAGTGGACCTGGCTAGTTTTTGAGATGGTATCTTTTTACTCATATACTCGATAAGTTTCAACTTTTTCCCCTCCTTTTGCGCAAGGACCGCGCCTATGCCATATTGGTTGGCATCTGTGGTCACGACGAAGGGCTGATCAGGACCCGGGAGATTGAGGACTTCATAGTGCGTTAGAGAATACTTCAATTTCTTGAAGGCTGCTTCACACTCTTTTGTCCGTTCCCAAGGGGTGTCAAGTCGAGTTAGATCTGTTAATGGGGAAGCTATAGTACTATAGTTTTTCACAAACGGTAGCCCGTCATCCCCAAAAACGATCTGACCTGAGTGATAGTCTGAGGTCTGGGCCAGTCAAGAATGTTGGCCACCTTTGCATCATCCGGCCTCAATTTTTCTGCTGAAATTTCATGACCTAAGTACAAGATCTTGGTGCGACCAAACTCGCATTTCTCCAAGTTAACCTTGTACTGGTGCTGTCTTAGGAGACCTAGCACTATTTTCAAGTGCTCAGCGTGCTCCTCTATAGTCTTACTAAAGATGAGGATGTCGTTGAGGTACACAACGATAAACTTATCTAAATAATCATGAAAGATCCTGTTCATTGCACACTGGAATGTCCCAGGCGCATTGCATTTGCATAGACCGAAGGGTATCACCACAAACTCGTACAGACCGTACCTAGTATGAAATGCGGTTTTGTGCTGGTCCTTAGGTCTAATATAAATTTGATGGTATCAGGACTTTAGGTCTATCTTAGTAAAGTACTGACATCCCTGCACTGTATCCAGTAGGTCGTTGATGCGGGGTATGGGCTCCGCGTTCTTTAACGGTGATGGGGTTGAGGCACATGTAGGCACTTGTAGTCAATGCACATCCTTAGTGTACCTCCCTTCTTAGGAACAAATA